CACAGGTGTTTAAACTGCTAAGTAATGCCAGAATCTGTATGCCTTATATATTTTTTATTTCTCAACAGAAAAGAATGATTTTTTTATTTTTTTTTTAAATTTTGATTACATACTCTTAAGAAATAGGTTATGGATCTCATTCCCGAGATTAGAGTGACAAACTCCAAGATTAATACGTCTTGGCTCGTCCTTTAATAGCCATGCCAGAGAAGGATGACGACAGAGTGGTGAAAGACAGCCTCAGTACTTGTCTACCTGAAGCCCTGACTCATTCCTGCAGCCATCTAACAGCTTATCCTTTACCTGTATGGACCAGCCTAGGCTTTTACCTGGACGCGATACAAACACTGGCTTTGTAGGTGTTCCTTTCTCTAATCCGACCACTGCTATATAATATGATAATAGAAACGTGCGCTGCCAGCCTGCCGTACGTTTGTCATTCTGTGTACCATTTCTTCGAGGATGAAGTGCTTTATAATTATAGTATTCAGTGTTCCAACAGCTTGCTTGTCGAGATTTGTAACTTACCAAAAGCCCAATGATTGATAATTGTTGTCATGGCAACTAATCAGCTTAAACTCAAATAATTTCGGAAGTAAGTTTAAAGGAAGCAGTGCTATGCCAATGTTGAAGAGGCAATGCAGCATAGAAATTAAAACCATCAAGTACGCAGCATTTGAGAGGCTGGGAGATCACGATGCTGGGAGAAAGCAACAGAGACAGTACACAAGCTAACAGCTCCTGATTTTTATAATGTTAGATCCTATGCCAGCTTAAAGCTTTCTGAAATGTTTCCATGATCATCTTAAACTACGAGGGATCAAAAGAATCCCAGGGCTCAATAGGTTACTATGACTACTTACACTCTGTAAACCAAACCGGTATGTAAATTTCCATTGACTTTTTATATATATATTTTTTTAATCAATATAAATTGTAGGGGAGATTGAATTGTGTTGATTCATTAAGTAAAACTTTTTATCCAGCCACTGGACCACCTCACAGAAAGCATTTAATTCCCACAATGCATAGTCAACATCGTTAGAGCTTGCTTACTGAGACTGCCCAGACTTTAGTGGTCTACGACTGAGAACCTGTCAGCTGAGTCCGGACACTCGTGTGGAAAATTCAACAATAAAATATTGATACGGTTTAAACATGTATTTGTCTTAGACAAGACCGACTCATAGATTTATGGATTTCAAGTCCTGTACTTATACAAATCGTGTGAATGAGTTGAAGGGGGATCAATAACCAATTTAATTCTAATCACAGTGGAGGGCGTAAAGCTTTGTTTACAAATTGTCAACAGTCCAGCCCCTCCATGACAAGTTCTTTACAAATCTAGCATTGGTACAAGTGTACATTTTTCTGTGAGGAGGATTTTTGTGAATAGCTGCAGATGCTGAGATTCCAGTGCAGTGACGTCACCCTCATGGCCGCTACCACCCAGTACCGGGCCATCCAAAGGACATCTCGCTCAACCAAGCCCAAGATGAAGGCTACACACCCTGACCATCTGAGCGGGGATGACTTCATTAGCCAAGGACATAATAGAGGAAACATAAGCCTAAAGATTGGTCACTACAAAGTATAAGGGATACCTGGACATTAATTACAATGCACTCTGCGTGTGTGATGTTTGTCTGATCCTTTATCTTCCTCAGACATATAAAGGAAACCATGACTGAACCTACAGAATATTAGTATAGGACAAAAGGTTGGGCGAGTAGAACTATTAACTGATGTGTGACAGTATATGTCACCGTGTGTGTGTGTGTAACATCACAACACGTGCCTGCCTCCTTCTCCCATCACACAAAGGAGGTTGAATCAGACTGATCCTACGTGACAGTATGCCTGTGATAGAAACATGTGCCTTCCTCCTCCCTCTCACATACATACATACATTCATTCTGCTTCAATTTATCAACCCTATGTTCAATATAAATTTATATTATTGTGTGGCAAGTGAGAAATTCCCATAGGTATGCTCCTTGACAGACGGTTTGTGTTTAGATAAGAATAAAACCTATTTTCAGCCGTCACAATAAGCTGTTTGTCAAGAGGCATGGTGTCAGAGGGTCATCGTCTAAACATCCCTCTCCCCAATTCTCCTCGGTATTGCATACCTAGGTGTACAACACAACCATTACAAAGAACTAAGTAGCCGGGTAGTTCTACCCTTGGGAGAACAGCATTGTGCGCTTTGGTGTCAAGTGATAGTCCCCCCTCCACACGAACCACATGTGTAGTCGTGCTGTGCACCTGCTTAACATTCCTGTCAGTCGACACAAGTACTGCTGCACAACTCTACTCCACCAGCCACAAGTACCCAGCTCTGTACGCCCCAGTAGTATAGTCGTCGGGCTTAGGGTATAGCCTGGCCTACACTCCATAAAACTCCAGCACCTATACACCGGTTAATAAATGGTGTGTTATTTGTCACTCTCGTCATATCTAGAATGGACATAGAGAGTTCCATTTCTGACAAACTTTTGTTGAGGCACTCTGATTGAGGACACTTTCTATTTCATAAATAGGCACACAGATAGAAGGAAGAATTCTGACTGCTTGTTAGGCCTGAGAAAAGAGAGTCAACTATCTTTAAATAATAATGCCTACAGGTAAATTGAACCAAAAAAAAAAGACTGAAAGAAAAAGTGCAAGATGATTTTCTGTCCAGATGCCCATCACTTTACCTGCATGTTTTTTCTTCGCTTGCGGTATCTTCACACCGTACACAAAGAGAGTTACTAAAGATCAGGCCTTTCAAATGGGACATGGAAAAGACAGTGTCACCTGCATAGACATATGGTCGTAATTGTGGGAGATGTGACCTACATAAAGATGGAATTAAAACACAATAACACCTTCACCGAGGGGGATTCAACTATTGTTATAGCTACCCTGTACAACAAATCATCCAACACAGTGAAAATGGAAGTCTGTCATCAATGTTACCACCAAGGTGTAGGCCCTGTCAGAGAGTTTGTGTCATATATAACAATAACATATGACTAATAGGCCATACAAACTAAACAACTATGGATAGATCAGGTTTGTAGACTTTGTAGAAGAAATGGGCAGATGACTTTTATCGTTTAACAAATAACTTAACGTTTCATTTAAGGTATTTGCCATGAAATAGATGACTAATGATGACATACCAGCTAAATGTAACAAAGTGTAGCTTTACCCTCATCAACAGTACATGACTAAGTAAAGCTTAATGAGAGGCAAACGGACAACATGACTCGACTCTAGTGATACATCTTTAATGCTGTTACACCCTCTGGCCAAGATGTAAGCTTGGCACCGATTGGACCAGATTGGACTGTAGGGTTCAATGGGACAGGGTCAGTAGTAGCCAGAGGAAGTAGTTTACATTACACCCAAAGCATTAATGAATTATTCATGGCAGGCCCGCCATTAGGCTTAAAATGATGGCACAAGATTCTGATGACTTTAATCGTAATCGTAAATCTGGAGTGAGGGTCACTTCGGCCTATAGCTATATATATGTTCAAACGTATATATATATGTGATATGATCTGGGTTTGAACCAATTAGTTATTCCATTGATCTACAAATCCATTTAATGATCAGTTTATCACTAGACACTACAATCGGGAGCAGTCAGTTGGTGCGAGTAGGTTACATAACAGGTGAAACATTTAATTGAAAATCTGTCATTAATAATCAACTAAGCTTGACTGGAGCCGACAATTTATCTACTTATAATAGCACCAGGATAATTAAAATAGTAGCAAAACAAACATGAACACATGTACTAAAGACTTGAAATAAATAGGTAGGCTCATTTCTACATCGTATTCTGGGAATACAATCAATCAATACGCTCATTTCTATGTTGTTTAATGCATTTGAATGTTAGGCTCATTTTTGTGCTGCATTATGTGTTTATATGAATAGGTATAGACTCATTTATGTAATATTACGTGTATGAATTCAAGTATTTCACAATACTACTTTGTATACCTTGGAGCAGAACTCACCAAGACAAACTAAAGAGAGTTGTAATGTCTATGTTCAATGCTGATAGACAATCACACAAAATGATAAAACATTATAGCAACAGACTTAACACATTGTACAGCACACTTTACAAGACACTGCAAGTAACAACAGTTCACTGAACACAAAATACACTTAACATCATAGGACAGTAACATGACATTGTATACGATTTAGAGGAACAAATACATTGCATGCAGTTACAACATCAAACTAGGTAACATCCGTTACATTGTATCACCATGGGTAACCAACATATACCTCTGGTATCTCCTTTCTCCTTCCATTGAAATATTAGTACACATACAATCCATATCAGCCCCTCCGATCGTTTGATCACAACGTACCCCAACCTAACTTGAAGAACATATCAACTGCTTTCCGGACAAATTTAAAACACAACTCACAATTTTGAAACACAGAATGATACAAATAACCTTTCATATGTTCCCTATAGAACCTGTGTAAAAGTGTGGCAAGATTGGGTCACGGCTTTTGTTCTGTACAAATCTGTGAAAAACACAACGTAACCTGGAGCTGTACCAGGTCTCGTCACGTTGATCGAGCAGGATGACAATGTGGATAAAACCATCGAACCAATGTTCACCCGAACATGTACTGCCATGCAGAGTCGACACATTACAAAGACGATCTGAAAATTTCACCATTTCATCTAGCCTTTACCACTCCTTGTGAAGGAAGAGGTTAGGTTTTCCTTGAATACTGTTTTGTCAATAAATAAATGAACTTAAATATTATTTTAGTAATATGCCAATAAGATATTAATCTGGTTTCAGTTCTTAAAAAAAATCTTTAAACTAAATTTTCATGATAGAAAAAGAAAAAGAAAAACCGAGATAAAATGGTGATGTTTACAGAATTTTGTTTTCGAGACACACAACAGAAACATCTATAACGGCTATGACATTAAGGATCGCTATGCGACGTGGTATGTAGCCTACCTATGCTGGCTATAGGGTGCCCAAAGCTGGCTGCTGACACTGATTCCTCCTTAATGGACACCTCCCCGAATGATTTGCCTACAGAAAGAAAATTAAACATGATAGGATTTCTCTCAACAGAAATTCGACACAAGATGTTTTATATCAGATGGTTAAATTGTTAGATAATATGCAGCTACTGGCTAGTAAATTAATTGCCCTGCATTAAGTTGGGTTAGTCGTGTTAGTTGGCTGAAATATAATAGAAAATAGTGAAATTAATGAAGATATAAATATGTATAAATATGTAAAATATAAAATAAATATTTCAATATGGAGGTACAATAATAATAATGATAATGTCTACAGCATAGATCTTCCTTTCTCATACAACTTTTCACTTCTATTCAGAGAATACTGTTAAAAGTCATTTGTATATTAAAACATTCATGTTACAGAACCAGATGTGAAAAACATGGTTTACAGTCAATCCCAATTCAATAAATCTTCACCAACATGCTTTTGATTTTTAAATATTTTGATGTTAAAAATATTTACCTGTACAACAGATCAATAACACTAAATAATTTATGACCTTGTAGGAATTAAAATCAAAGAAACACGGCATCACTTCCAGACCATACACACTCTGAAGAAAGGGATTCTCATCAGAACGGAAAGTACAGGGATAGAGAAACAAGGTGAAGATCTGGTTATTGTCTCAGAAACTAGCTTAATATCACCACATATATATGTATGGTAGGATATAAATTATTGGACAATACACAGTATAATTGGTCCTCAAGCTACCAGTGCAATTGCAATTAGATTCAACATTTGTGTATAGTATAATTAGGACCTGGCATTGCACAAAAGCTTACATCCATAATCATGTAGGCTTATATACTGGTTTTGTATACTGGTGCTGTACAATAAATCCTGAATGAAACTATCATTTTTCCCCTCCATATTCATAATCGAGATTAAATCCAGTTTATAATGGAACTGATCATGATCAATATTCAACACCAGGTATGTGTCTGTACAGTAGTTCATGGTTTTTCCTTTTTTTGTGTACAGAAAAATAAATTACCATACAACACTCTATATATCAATTTAGGAACGAAAATAATAAAGGCCAATTATAATGGTGACACGGTGGTCTGGACACGTCACTAGGATCTGGTCGCTACCCCACAGGCCCAGGACAATGGAGCTGCGGAGGTTGACGCGGTTAGCATGGCAACCCGTGCCTTCATCACTTGCCTGAGTGGGGCCCTCCCCTATCCTACCTACACAGACAGCCTAGCCAGAGAGCAGGCCTACCTGTATTTTATAACACAGCTTTCATATGCTTCAGCTGCTTGCTGAAACAGGTAACAACCAAAGCAGCTTTCTCGCCATGGAAACAGCAAGCTTAACTGACAGCCCCAAATAAATGGGAAAAAAATGTATTCAAACAAGCGTCGAGGCCTTTCATGCTCTCCCATGCATTGCAGTCAACACGGCACTCCAGCTTCCGTCCTTCCTGTTGTGGGTTTTTATAGTGCCCAAGTCCTCTCCTTACTTAATACAGCTTCAGCAATCACTCTAACTGCCTTTGTATGTGGGCAAAATTACACCGTTTTATATGAAGAATAAACCATAACTAGAGTGGCATTCAATTTATGAACGTATGAATCACACAATAGGGTGTTTCACAGAGTAAGGAATCTAAGAGAAGTTCTCAAGGCCTTTGTGGGAATATAACTTTTGTTTGTTGTGCCACTGTGCTGGGGTATACATTGTACAACCGACACAGGGAAAACCTTACTGCAGGACATAAAAGACAAGCCGATTTCAAAAACACCTTTTATCCCATTATGAAATTGAAATTGTCCAGAGTGAAAAGAATTTTTGAAATACATAAATATCCATGTAAAAGAGATGAAAAAAATAAGATTAAAATCTAAAAATATCTTTACACAGATGACAAAGAGACGCTTGTTGTACGAAATACAAGTTATAAAATATTGTAAAATTACTTTTGAAAATGCATAATAGAAAGCACACTGTGCATTAAAAAAAAAATGTGGCATTCAAAGTGGTGAACAATTTCTGGCAGGTCGGGCTAAAACTCTGAAGCAATGGTCTTACATGGAGAAGCTGAAATCCCTCAAGACTTGAGAGCAAATACAACAATACAGATCATTATTTGAGTAAGGGTTCTGTTTGTTATCAGCCACTGAATGCCAAGAAAGTCAACAGTAGTCTGTAGAAACAATAGGAACACAGAAGGCTTCGTTCCCAGCCTCAGTTATTGAAGCCTAATGCTGGACAGGACGAACCACTCACTCGCACTGCCGAGGAGCTTCCCCGCAGAAATCACTTTCATCTATAAAGATACCACGGCCAATGAAGTTCCTATTCATTTATGATGGCCAAACTTGCTGTTGATTAGGCGAGCACCTAGAAGATTAACATGATTACATGTGCGCTGATAACAGCACTTTCTATTGACTCATTTTATATGAACTATCATAGTCCTGCAGAACACTACAGAAACCGGTAACATAGACAACACATGTCCACAACGGAAACTACATTTTACCTACTGATAAATTGAAAGGTACACTTCTGTTACCTTCAACATTTTTCATACATTTCAGTAAACTTCCTTTTTTCCTAGTCAGGTAGTAGTAACCTTCAGTAAGCTTATCTACAGGGGACTATAACCTTCATTTAAAACAAATTCTAGCCATACCTTTAATTGTATTCAAATCCTCGCATAGAGGAATGCATTATGAAGTAGTTGAGAAATCCTTCAGCGATAACCTTTATTAAATACACCGACAAGCATGTCAAGAAACTTCCCTGGCACCCTTAACAATAGAAGTACATAAACTTGTATGTTGTCCCATATACCAACTATTAGAATCAGCTTGCTTTGACACCATGACAAGCTAAATACATTTTACTTATGCAAATTTACTAGTACCAATTTTCATTGAACATCTCGTAAAATGATAAGTCCTTGGTGCCAAAATGCAAATGAAACTGACACTGACTACCATAATGAATACGGGTATTACCAATGGTAACAAACAATGATGTCTTCAAGTACTGGACCATAAACATCATGGTTGCAACATCTACTACTGGGTATACGACCGTGTTTATGGACACATCTACATCTGAGACAAGATTTTTTTGTCTGCGGAACCACTGCAGGAATACATTGACAGCCAAAATAGTACCGATACCTTACAGACTAAATGGCATGTTTGCTTCAAGGTTTAGGTCATCTGATATCTCGGAGCATATAGAGAGAATTATTATACACAGCCACAGATGCCGGCACATGCGGTATCCATGACAAATTCCTACATTCTGTCACGAGATACAGACAACCGCTATGACGAACAGGAAAACAAAAAATGTGTGTGGAAGCCAGTGAGCATCTACATGAAGGTCGTGTAGTTTAATCAGGCCAGACTACGGTCGAGTCAGAACTGACCCTGTCGACCGCCATGATCACAAATGCTTTTCTTTTTTTCTTTCCAGATTTGGCAATACAAGCGTACGAAGATCAATGGTGGTATCGTGTTGCCTTGTGATGAGACCAGTCAATGTTGTCATGCAATCTGAACCACACATTTTCGCTGATCAACCTCAGTTTTGTTAGCACAAATGAGATAATACCTATTGAAAAGCGAGAAAATTTGTTCCAATTCATACGCTAATCATTCCCATTTTGGAACCATGTTTTCACGACAAAAGGCCCAAGGAAACTCAATATTTGGTAAAATTACCAAATGGCTTATCTGTCAATTAGATGGAGCCGGCCTAAATAAGTAACAATTTGTCTGTTGAAGCATCCCCACTAACTACAAGGAAATTCCATTTGTTGGCGAAAGACTACATCTTTGAAATCTTGAACACTGTGTTGTTCTGCAGACAGCATCAGCTGGGCTGGAATTGGTGCATGAGTAAGCAGGAGCCAAACGACGTTAGCCCCAAGGGGTCATCCTTTATGGGGGAGAGCGACAGCCTCGCCGGTCGGCAGTGATGCATGGCCCCTCGTGACACCGGGGTTACCCACCTAATATGTCCGCCAGACTGACAAGCCCAGAGAGATACTGCCGCCGAAAAGGGAGGTGGTGAAAGCAATTCATGTTTTCCTTATATAAACTAATTAATATCTTATCAGATTAGCTGTCATTTTATTATTACTATTGTCCATCAAAAATTATTGAAAATGTAACGATGATTATGTTTTCTTTTGTTTTTCAAGAAACTTTCCCCCCCATTCCTATACCATGTATTTAAACATATGTTTACGTTTAAATATATAGGTACTGCAGAATGAACAATTTCTTCCTTTGTCCATTGCACTGTGATGCATGCAATAGGACTCAAGATGGGATTTTTTCTCCCTTTGTGTATACAGTGCATATATATGTTTACTAGGATTCCTACTTTTCTTCACTGATATCTATAATACCAGTGATCAATCTACAATTAGTTTGTGTGGGTTTTTTCTCAGTGTATGGTTAAAAGATATATGGGTCCCACCATGTTAAATTTCAGTATTTTCAGAAATTCCATGGGTCAAATCAAAATTCTATGGGTACATGGCCCAGGACTCGCATGTAGATTTATCACTGTAATACCTACCGAATGTTAGTTTATAAAATCCTGAAGATTGAATACTTTTCTCTGCTCATATATATTAAACAACTACAAAAGTTTTAACAACACTCATGTTTGCTCAACATTTCACGTTATGAAACATGCAGCTTTCCACAGATATGAAAGTTTATTAGATAACAGCCTATTTGTTTACCTACATTTTATAAAGTAGCACCAATGCAAAGTACACCCGAGTGTTAACAGCACGAGTGTTAACAGCACAGCACGAGTGTTAACAGCACGTGATAAAATTCCTATTCCCCCCCCCCCCCATTAGAATTCCCCCATACATTTTAGGGGGTTCAGTACTATAGATGATTACACTGTTTAGTCAAACTTTCAGGTGTCCTAAAGGCTGTTTCATAAATTTGAATGTTTTGAGTCTATTACCACTGACCCCTGTTATCACTGTTTTCCTACTTTCTTCC